ACTCCAAATCTTTTTATCGGCATTGTCCGCCGCCCACTCAAAGTTATTCTCCCTCTACTTCAAATTTTCAGGTGAACCCTGGATTTATCTAGCCATTAGTGGGGAGAATGGTTGTGTGACAAACCAAATAATGGAACAAGGCAGACTATCCCCTTGCCAAAATACTGGTGACTTGGACAGTAAGAAAGTGCTGACACAAAAAATAAATGAATGAGAAACTTAAATATTTTTCATACAAGCAATACATGTGCTTTAGTTATGCGCAAGATGCAAGGAAGCATCTGGCCTACAATGCAAATGTCATTTGTGAGAATGATGCAACTTCTTTTGAAAAAGAGCAGTCAGACTATTTTTAAAAAAACAAAAAAGAAGTTACACTTTAAGCGCCCGCTTTTGAGTTTCATCAAGCTTCTTGTCCATTGTAATTGGATCCACTCCAATCCAAATTTCAACTTAGCTGATAAAAATCAATAAAGGGACTCATTAAAAATTGAAAACATGAAGATTAGCAAATGTTATTCTACTCAAGAATGAAAGCGTTTCTGTCTGTCACAGACTCTACGGGTGACTGTGCAATCGATGTTTTAAAATGCTCTGCATCACTGGAAAGTTGTCACATTGTTACATTTTAATTGATTGCTAAACTTCAAGAATCATTTGGCTGGTGATAAATGACAGAATTTTGTTTTCATTATTTGATGTCACGAAACCTTTTTTTTTATAATTCACAAGTTGTATACTTGCCTCTAGCATGTTTCTTTTCACAAGCAATCCTGGATCGACATATTTGTACTCTGGCCTAGGTGTTCTCGCTAGTCTCCCTTCGTATTCCAACAATTCTTTTTCATATCGTTCCGCTAGAGTATCCTCTGGACAAAACAGCCACAGAAACGCACATCCTCCTAAATACGCCAACAAACTTCCAAGGACTAAACCAGAGATGAACGGCGGGGAACTTGTTATGAAGTAGATGTACACAAGCAAAGAGCAAAAGCAGAAATTTGCGAACTGAGGCGATTTGTCTAGAATGGGGCGTGATAAGAGTCTCGCTCCCGACTCCCTGCTTGCCTCATTATAGTGGTCAAAATTGAATAACAAGTCTGGAGAAGGGATTTCAGAAACTATGTCCGCGTTGCTTTCGATTTCCTCAGTATCTGAAATTTTCTCTTCGGTCTCACCATGTACTTCGTCTTTCGCTATGCTGGCTAAAAGAGATGATAAGGAAATTCCAGCTGAGGATTTAGGTTTCTCCTGATCACCTGCACTTTCAACCTGGCGATCACGATTCAAAATGCGAAATGGTGAAGGTGACCTGGACCTTTGATGGTGCGCTTTCAACTTACTCTCCGAACCATCGTCAGCATGGCTCTTGCAAGGACGCGAACCAGCATCGCTTTCCTCCTTCTCGGAAAGCGAAAGACCTTCTTTTGAAGAGTCAGCTTTCCCTTCGTTCCCCTGCTCGCGCTCCCTTTCTCGACCACGCAGAAACTTCATGATCACCGAATCGGAGTCTTCATTTCGCGAATAACTCGGCCAAGTGCTCTGTTTTGTAACTGCCGATCGCCTGTCTGGCGTTTCCCTCAGTTCCTGAGTAGAATGACTTTTGCTTGCAAGATTTAAGCCTGTCCCAGAAGAGTTCTGTTTCGTATTCGAAGTTCCTTCAGCATATTTATATTTTTCCGGTTGAGAAGTGTTCGCGCTTCCAACTTGCTCACACACTCGCTTCGTCACATTAAAAAAACCATCTTCTCCATCTTCTCCCCCGATTTCTTGACGTAGTTCATTGGGATCGGGAACCTTACTATTTTCTTTACGTACTATAGAAATTTCTTCGTCGGAATCTGACTCCTTGTTGCTTGAACTGTAGCGAATAGAGATGGAAGAAAATGGATTTCGGAGAGATTTCTCAGGAGCTACTCCGGTTGGCTGGCCACTTCTCGCGGTCGATGATCGCGGTAAGGGTGGTCGGGGAGGCGGCTTTTTTGCGCTCATTGCTGTTCCCTGCTTCGTAGCACATTTGTGCGTTGACTAATTGAATCTTTACCCACCATGAGGAGATAAACATCTATCGCAAAAGCGACAATTTCCTCAGCGAGATGGCTTGACTTTCACATCAGAGAAACGAATACGAATTGCAGAAAGCAGGCAGTCAGCGGCAAAACATTCGTTCCCAGACCATCGAATTGCTCTACTCCTACCCCCCAGCCTCCACCCCACCCCCCCATATATCCCGCCTACTACGAACTACAAGAGGCCGAGCCAGGGGGACAGATCAGAGAGTCTTATTTGACCGTAATGTCAACTTAAATTCGCCGTGAAATATTGCAACTATTTTTCTTTGATTCAAACGGAAAATATTATCTACCATGTGATATGCTCCTGTATGTACATTGCATTGTATGTCCTCTCAAGGGTCATGGGCTCCTCGTCCAGTGAAATTCTATCTGTGAGACGAACGAAATACGGTCACCGGTCACACATCGTCCCGCCCGAAGTAGGCACGAAGGATCTACGAAATGCCGACTGCCCTGGTGACCACAGGTGATACGTGATACCTACATGTGGGTTTTGTCTTGGGAATAGAATTTCAACAGCTGGACCACATGTGTAACAAGATCATCACTTTGCTTGGACGTACAAGAGGATCGATTTGCGCTGCAAATGTCCACTCCTCTGCGCTCAGTCCTGTCATCGTGCGGGTGCAAAGGACATTTTACGAGGGGTGTCTGGAAAACCCGAATAGCGAATAGCGAATAGTCCCGAATGTGCTAATAGTCTCGAATACTGCGAATAGCAGCGAACAGTCGCGAAAAGTGGCGAATAGTGACGAATAGTCGTCAATAGTCACCGGTTTAGATCTGATATCCTGCGTTAATTAATTATCCAAATAAGCAACAGAATGTCAGTGAATTTATTACCTTTTCTTCTCCGGACTCAGGCTAGGGCTGTCCATCGCCGACATTAAGAAAACAGAAAACACAGGGATAACCTAATACAGACGTATTTACGCTTTTGCAGTGGTTAAAACAGAAGAAATTACGTTGAGAAACACCTTTTGTCCTGATAAGCGTC